CTCCCCTTCCCTTCCCTTCCTCAGCAGGAATATAAAAGTGATTTGGCACTGCCTTCTTTGGGGATGTTTTTGGTCTGACTAATCTCTAGCCCTGGTATTCCCCTGAAGTCTCCCCTGCTGGAGATTATCCAGGCCTAACGGGAAGCCAGCAAAAATAATCTTGATGCAAATCAGACCATCCTATAGAGCAAGATATAAAAACTGTATGCAAGCCATGCTCGAAAGAAAAGAAAGCCATCTTTGAGAAAAATGTATTTTAATAATTTAGTTTAAGGGTATTTTTTTAAAAAAATGATTGTACAGCATGGAAACTTACTTGGAATATGAATTCAAGTAGAACTAAATGCTAAAAATCTGCATCCTGTCTTCCTTGTGCTTTCTGCACTCATGGACAAAACAATGTAAAAATGAACTTTTTACTGAAGAGGAGAACACAGGTTGCCCTTTAAGTTCAGAAATACTAGAACACAAGAAAGCTGATCATTTAACCATCCCAAAAGTTCACAGGAAATCCAGCAAAACCCAGAACAGAATAGTAACATTAAGGTAGGGATTCCCACCTTAGGTCAGCCAAGATTGGACTACGATTCCCACCATTCCCACAGGTCAAGCAGGTCGATGGGATTGTATTCTATGGATATCTGGGGAGCCACACTTGGAAATCACCATCGTGGCATGCCGCTCAGTTCTAACTGGCTTCCTTTCTCACCTCTTTGGTGGTGGCTTCTGTCTCCTCGACACATTGGGCATGGTCCCACCAGAAAGCCGTCCCGTTCAGCAGCACCCAATTCCCATCAAGCCCACATCTGCGGCTCACAAACCCATGTTTAACTGCAAGCACAAACAGCCAGAGTAAGCAAATGCCCTGCATCGTTCTGCTTTCTTTTCACCTCTTGCCATATGGCCAGGAGAGGGGGAGTCAAAGACAGAGACAGAATTCCTAGGGAAGCCATTTTTCATAGGGCCTCTCTAGGACTTCATCTCACAGTTCCATTCAGCAAGCCAATTACATGACATGGCTGATGGGGAGAGTGGGGTTGTCTGGATCAGCTGGCTGGGTTAGGGTGTCTATGCAATCTGCAATCCAACAACCCATTTAAATGTGTTCTGTAAACAGAGTCTTTGTGTCATTAAAAGGGAGATTTGCATCAATCATCGTCTTCCCATATGTGGCACTCACTTAAGAAGCCAGAGTGGAAAGCCATGCAAAGAGGGAGAGATTGCACATGGGAGCACACACCTCATGTGACCAGAATTCTCAGCAATGTCCATGCTGGTTAAGAAGTCTTGGGCAGTGAAGTCCCCACATCTGAAGGGCACCTCAGGTTGGAGGAAGGCTGCTCTAAGGAGTCCCACCAAGTGGGTCAAACATCTCAAGAACATTAGAACCCTAGGAGGCTCAGCCTTCTCCACAGAGACAGGAATAAGAATTTTTTTTTTATTTTTGAGCACCAACAAAGGACGTAATTAGAGGCTTTAAGAGATCCAAGCTGCTCCACTTTGTGGCCTGGTTGACAGATTACCCTGCTCACGTAAGAGTTTTCACACAAGAGCCTGGCATAGAGGCTCTGTTCTATCAATCTACAATAAACTGCTTTTCCTCTTATGGCCACGAGATGGAGCAGCTACCAAATAATGCCCTACTGAGTAGCACAGATAAGGTGGACAAATACCCATAATTCTCACATGTCTGGAGGATTATGGGACTGATATCCAGAACATTTTATTTTTATTATTTAGTTAGTTCAATTTGGATGCTGCCCAACTTCAGCCGACTCTACTGAAAGATGCCAGGTGAAGCAGAAGTGGGTTAGGATGTTTTGGTAGACCATTCTTTGTTGAAGGTTAGTAGTTAAAACAACAACAACACAAGAACATCATCTTTTCCTTAAATCAGGATGTTGAAATTTGGAGTAACCAGAAGCAGCTTTGCGAATGGAACAGCTCAGTTCTGAGGTTCAGCATCTATCTCTTGTAGGTAGATATGAGGATTCTTGTAAAAAACAAAGTAGAGGAAACAAGTCTGCCCAAGTAAATTCATTCTCCAGGAAGGGTTTATCCCAGCAGGTTTAAGCGCAATTTCCTTTCTTGAGATCATTATTGTAACGTTATGCAGAATGGATCTTTTAGTGCTAAAGAACCTCATATGGCCCCAACACACAGTGAAGGCACCCACATTATCTGTCCCAATGCTAGAATGTCTCTCTCTGTAATACGGGGCTGTGTTTATTCAAACCTGATGCTCGTATGCACTTCTGCACCACCTGTCAGGGCAGTTATTTGCAGGAATGGACAAAATATGGGCAGGGATTATATAAGCTGAATTAGTCACTGCAGAGAAGAGAAGGAAAAATAGCCCTCGCCACTTCCAAAGCAATTTTCTGCCCAGAAGTGTATGGACCCACCATTTCAGTACCAAGGACAGCACTCATGACCTGACCTTCTACCCATCCAGTCCATGCAAGTCAAGAGTGGGGATCTATTTACTTATTTATTTATTGAAAGGGGGGGGGGCAAAAAGTGCTTTAACAAAAAAGTGAAATACCAAAAAAAAAAGTTAATATGTCATTATAACAGTAAACAATTACAATTCTATATATACATATCTAATGCCAATATTATTCTAGTACGTATATATTTCTAATACATTTATATGATTATCGTGTTTTTTTTAAAAAAGAGACCTACTGTATTTTGTATAAATGAGTCCCATATTTCATTATATTTGTCCATACAAAGTCTATGTCTGTAGGTAATCCACTCCTAAGTGGCAAGTACAATCAGGTCTTTGATCCATTGAATAAACGGGGCCATGCATTTTATCTTTCCAATGCTGCAGTATCAGTCTTTTGGCCCTAGTAAGGGCACAGAGGATTCATTTATGTTGTCCAGTTGTCAAGTTCCATGTACTGGGTATATAGTTCAAAATAATACTATCCTCCGAAAGAGTGGGGAGCTCGTATAATCCAGGAGTTGCTGAACTAAAACTCCCAGAATCCCACGTCATTGCTCATTCTGATCAGGGTTGCTGCAAACTGTAGCTCAGCAAAATCCCCACTCTTGATTTTTGGGTTGGATTTTCATGGAGCAAAACAACCCAGAACAGCTATAGAAAAGCTAGATTGGACAAACATTTTATTATACAGAAGTTTCAGACGAGTAGAGAAGTTCTTCCACACTAATCTCCCCTTTTTTGTTCTTTGGTGAACAAAAAAGTGGAGATTAAACAAAGTAACTTCAGTGTATCTAGGAAGCAATCTCCTTGGGATGTTTTGTTGATCCCTTTCCGAGCCCAAAGACCCAGCCTTACCTTTCTCATACCAGGGTAGATAGAAAGGGCAAGATACGTTGACGATAGCTCCTGGGCTCCCATCTGGCCAGCATGCATACATATCAAATGTCCGGTTGCAAAAGAGCCCTGCAAGGCACAGAAGCAAGACTGGTTGGGTAGGATGACCTTGATTTAAGCTGGGCATAGGAACAGAGTATCCATGGGTATCTAAATGCTCGCTGTCAATAGCATTGGTACCCATGAAGCTCTCTGCTTTTATTGATTTTGGGGGGGTGTCCCTTTAAGTCAGTGTTGACTCCTGGCAACTGCCTGGACCAGTCCCTGCAGTTTTCTTGGCAAGATTTCGGAAGTGGTTTGCCATTG